TACAATGAAGACACAATGTACCAGAATCTCTGGGACACATTTAAAGCAGTGTCTAGAAGGAAATTTTTTTTTTGAGATGGAGTTTCGCTCTTGTTACCCAGGCTGGAGTGCAATGGCGCGATCTCAGCTCACCGCAACCTCCACCTCCTGGGTTCAGCCAATTCTCCTGCCTCAGTCTCCAGAGTAGCTGGGACTACAGGGGCGCGCCACCATGCCCAGCTAATTTTTTGTATTTTTAGTAGAGACGGGGTTTCACCATGTTGACCAGGATGGTCTCGATCTCTTGACCTCGTGATCCACCCGCCTCGGCCTCCCAAAGTGCTGGGATTACAGGCATGAGCCACCGCGCCCGGCCTAGAGGGAAATTTATAGCAATAAATGCCCACATGAAAAGCAAGGAAAGATCTAAAATCGACACCCTATCATCAAAATTGAAAGAGCTAGAGGAGCAAGACTGAAAAAACTCAAAAGCTAGCAGAAGACAAGAAATAACTAAGACCAGAGCAGAACTGAAGGAGATAGAGACACAAAAAATGCTTCAAAAAAATCAATAAATCCAGGAGCTGGTTTTTGAAAAGATAAACAAAATAGACCGCTAGCCAGACTAACAAAAAAGAAAAGAATCAAATAGATGCAATAAAAATGATAAAGGGGATATCACCACTGATTCCACAGAAATACAAACTACCATCAGAGATTACTATGAACTATATACACAATAAACCAGTAAATCTGGAAGAAATGGATAAATTCCTGTACACTTGCACTCTCCCAAGACTAAACCAGGAAGAAGTTGAATCCCTGAATAGACCAGTAACAAGGTCTGAAGTTGAGGCAGCAATTAAGAGCCTACCAACCAAAAAAAGTTCAGACAGCTTCACAGCAGAATTCTGTCAGATGTAGAAAGAGATGCTGGGACCGTTCCTTCTGAAACTATTTCAAACAATACAAAAAGAGGGAACGTTTCCTAACTCTTTTTATGAGACCAACATCATCCTGATACCAAAACCTGGCAGAGACTCAACCAAAAAAGAAAACTTTAGGCCAATATCCAGGATGAATATAGATGCAAAAATCTTCAATAAAATACTGGCAAACTGAATGCAATAGCACATCAAAAAGCTTAGTAATCACGATCAAGTAGGTTCATCCCAGGGATGCAAGGCTGGTTCAACATACACAAATCTGTAAACGTAATCTGTAACATAAACAGAAACATAGTCAAAAATGACATGATTATCTCAACAGATGCAGAGAAGGCCTTCAACAAAATTCAACAGCCCTTTATGCTAAAAACCCTCAATACAGTAGGTATCAATGGAACATATCTCAAAATAATAAAAGCTATTTACGACAAACGCAGAGCCAATATCATGATGAATGGGCAAAAATTGGAAGCATTCCCTTTGAAATCTGGCACTAGACAAGGATGCTCTCTCTCACCACTCCTCTACAATATAGTATTGGAAGTTCTAGCCAGAACAGTCAGGCAAGAAAAAGAAAGGGTATTCAATTAGGAAAAGAGGAAGTCAAATTGTCTCTATTTGCAGACAACATGATTGTATATTTAGAAGACCCCATCATCTAAGCCCAAAATCTCCTGAAACTGATAAGCAACTTTGGCAAAGTCTCAGGACACAAAAATCAACATGCAAAAATCACAAGCATTCCTATACACCAATAACAGACTTAAACAGAGCCAAATCAGAAATGAACTGCCATTCACAATTGCTACAAAGAGAATAAAATACCTAGGAATACAACTAACAAGGAACGTAAAGGACCTCTTCAAGGAGAACTACAAACCACTGCTCAACGAGATAAGAGAGGACACACACAGATGGAGAAACATTCCATGCTCATGGTTAGGAAGAATCAATATCGTGAAAATGGCCATACTGCCCAAAGTAATTTATAGATTGAACACTATCCACATCAAGCTACCAATGACCTTCTTCACCAAACTGGAAAAAAACACCTTAAACTTCATATGGAACCAAAAGAGAGCCCACATAGTCAAGTCAATTCTAAGCCAAAAGAACAAATCTGGAGGCATCACACTACCGGACTTCAAACTATACTACAAGTCTACAGTAATCAAAACAGCATGGTACTGGTACCAAAACAGAGACATAAACCAATGGAACAGAACAGTGGCCTCAGAGGTAACGTTACATACCTACAACCATATGATCTTTGATGAACCTGACAAAAACAAGCAATGGGGACAGGATTCCCTGTTTATTAAATGTTGTTGGAAAAAACTGGCTAGCCAAGTGCAGAAAGCTGAAACTGGACCCCTTCCTTACACCTTATATAAAAGTTAATTCCAGACGGATTAAAGATTTAAACATAAGACCTAACACCATAAAAACCCTAGAAGAAAACCTAGGCAATACCATTCAGGACATAGGCATAGGCAAGGACTTCATGACTAAAACACCGAAAGCAATGGCAACAAAAGCCAAAATCAGCAAATGGGATCTATTTAAACTTAAGAGCTTCTGCACAGCAAAAGAAACAATCATTAGAGTGAACCGGCAACCAACAGAATGGGAAAAAATTTTGCAATGTACCCATCTGACAAAGGGCTATTATCCAGTATCTACAAAGAACTAAAACAGACTTACAAGAAAAAAAAAAACCTATTCAAAAGTGGGAAAAGGATATGAACAGAAACTTTGAAAAGAAAATAATTTATTGAAGATTTTTGCATCTATGTTCATCATGGATATTGGCCTGAAGTTTTCTTTTCTTTTCTTGTTGGGTCTCTGCCGGGTTTTGGTATCAGGATCATGTTGGTCTCATAAAATGATTTGGGAAGGACTCCCTCCTTTTGGATTGTTTGGACTAGTTTCATAAGGAGTGATAGCAGGTCCTGTTTGTACGTCTGTTAGAATTCAGCTTGTGAACACATCTGGACCTGGACTTTTTTTGGTTGGTAGGCTATTAATTGCTGCCTCAACTTCAGCCCTTGTTATTGGCCTGTTCAAGGTTTCAACTTCTTTCTGGTTTAGGCTTGGGAGGGTGCAAGTGTCCAGGACTTTATCCATTTCTTCCAGGTTTACAGGTTGATGTGCATAGAGTTGTTTGTAGCAATCTGTGATTGTAGTTTGTATTTCTGTGGAGTCAGTGGTGATATCACTTTATCGTTTTTTATTGCATCTATTTGATTCTTCTCCCTTTTCTTTTTATTAATCTGGCTAGTGGTCTGTCTATTTTGTCAATCTTTTTTAAAAAAAAACTAGCTCCTGGATTTATTGATTTTTTGAAGGATTTTTGTGTCTCTGTCTCCTTCAGTTCTACTCTGATCTTGGATTATAAACCATTCTATTATAAAGACACATGCACACATATGTTCATAGCGGCATTGTTCACAATAGCAAAGACCTGGAACCAACCCAAATGCCCATTGATGATACACTGGACAAGGAAAATGTGGCACATATACACCATGGAATACTATGCAGCCATAAAAAACGATGAGTTTGTGTCCTCTGTAGGGACATGGATGAATCTGGAAACCATCATTCTTGGCAAACTGACACAAGAACACAAAATCAAACACCACATGTTCTCGCTCATAGTTGGGTGTTGAACAATGAGGAAACATGGACACTGGGAGGGGAGCATCACACACTGTGGTCTGTTAAGGGGGGCCAAGGGAGGGACAGTGGGGGGCAGTGGGGAGGGAAAACGTTGGGAGAAATGCCAGAGGTAGGTGATGGGGGGATGGAGGCAGCAAACCACATTCCTATGTGTGTACCTATGCAAAAATCCTGCAAGATCTGCACATGTACCCCAGAACCTAAAGTACAATAAAAAAAAAAAGAAGATATTTATGCAGCCAAGAAACATATGAAAAAATGTTCATCATCACTGGTCATTAGAGAAATGCAAACCAAAACCACATTGAGATACCATCTCATGCCAGTTAGAATGGCGATCATTAAAAATCTGGAGACAACAGATGCTGGAGAGGATGTGGAGAAATAGGAACACTCTTACGCTGTTGGTGGGAATGTAAATTAGTTCAACCATTGTGGAAGACAGTGTGGCGATCCCTCAGGGATGTAGAAATAGAAATTCCATTTGACCCAGCAATCCCATTACTGTGTATATACCCAAAGAACTATAAATTGTTCTACTATAAAGACACATGCACATGTATATTCATCACAGCAAAGACCTGGAACCAACCCAAATGCCCATCAATGCTAGACTGGACACAGAAAGTATGGCACAGATACACCATGGAATACTATGCAGCCATAAAAAAGATGGGTCCATGCCCCTAATAGGGACACAGATGAATCTGGAAACCATCATTCTCAGCAAACTGACACAAGAACAGAAAACCAAATACAGCATGTTCTCACTCCATAGGTGGGTGTTGAACAATGAGAACACATGGCAACAGGGAGGGGAACATCACATACTGGGGTATGTTTGGGGGTGAGGGGTTAGGGGAGGGACAGCAGGTGGTGGGGATGTTGGGGAGGGATAACAGTGGGAGAAATGCCTGATGTAGGTGACAGGGGGATGGAGACAGCAAACCACCATGGCATGTGTGTACCATGCAACAATCCTGTAAGATCTCCACATATACCCTAGAACTTCAAGTACAATATAGAAAAAACAGAACAAGTATATATAGTTACCTTCAGAGTCTTGGATGTGACTGAAAATAGAGAATCTAGTGTTCATAAGGGGATAGAGTTGTGTTAAAGGTAAGCCAGATTGGTGCAGCTGGGAAAATGATACATCTTGTTCCTTGTGATGCTCAACACTTTTAAAACTGGACACTGAGCTAAAAGAAACCGTGGTGGTCAACTACCCTAATCTCATTCTACACATAAAGAAAATGAAACCCAGAAAAGGGAAAGAACTTGTGCTAAAGGTTGGCCTATAAAAACATTCCAATTGTTTTATTCCTCTCAAATTTTCAGTCACCCTTCTCTTATTTCATTAAACAGGTACCATACATCCCAGTTCCTTACTTAAAACTTATACAACATTTTATTTTGCAATAATTATATACTTAGAGGAAGTTGCAAAAATAGTACAGAGTCTCATGTATCATTTACCAGTTCCTTCTAATGGTATGGTCTTTTGTTACTCTAGGTACAACTTCATATCCAAGATACTCACAATGATATTATACTGCTGTCTAGACTACGAACTTTATTCAGTATCATCAGATTTTACATGCATTCATTTGTGTGTATGTAGGTCCATGCAACTTCAGCACAGGTATAGATTCATGTGCTTAACCTCATAATCAACTACTATAATCAACATCATAATTATATAGAACTGTTCCATCAGCACAGAGGAACTCCTTATGCCATCCCTTTAGAGTCATACATACCCCACACCCTCTCCAGTCCCTGTCCCTGGCAACCATTAATCTATTCTTCATTTCAATGATTTTGTCATTTCAAGAATGTTATATGAATACAATCAGACAGTATATGACCATTTGAGACTGGCTTTTCTTGGTTCACCATAATACCTCTGAGGCACAACCACGTTCTTATATCAACAGTTGGTTCCTTTTCATTCCAGAGTAGTATTGCAAATTATGGATAGTTTGTTTAACCATTTACCCGTTGTAGGACATCTGGGTTGTTTCCAGTTTGGGGCTATTACAAATAAAGCTTCTATGAATATTTGGGTACAAGTACAATATAGGTTTTCATTTCTCTGGAATGACTGTCCCAAGGTACAACCGCTGGGTCTTATGTTTAACTTGATAAGAAATTTATAAACTGTTTCCAGAGTGGCTGTGCCATTTTCCATGCCTGTCAACAATGTATGAAATATCCAGTTTGTATCCTCATCAGTATTTGGTACTTTCACTATTTTTAATTTAGCCATTCAGATAAGTAAGTCATAGCCTCACAGTGGTTTCAATTTGCATTCCCTGATGACTATGGAGTTTAACAGCTTGCCATTTATAGATCCTCTTCAGTGAAACATATATTCATGTCTTTTGCCCATTTTCTAATTGGACTGTTCTCATGGTTGAATTTTTGTGGCTTTTTTTTTTTGAGACAAGGCCTTTACCCAGGTTGGAGTGTGGTGGTGTGATCATAGTTTACTCCACCCTCAAACTCCTGGGCTCAAGTGATCCTCCTGCCTCCCTAGTAGCTGGGATTACTGGTGTGTGTCATGGTGCCCAGCTAATTTTTTAAAAAATGTTTTGTAGAGACAGAGTCTCACTATGTTGCCCAGGCTGGTCTTGAATCCCTAACCTCAATCACTCCTCCCACTTGGCCTCCCAAAGTGATGAGATTACAAGCATGAGCTACCATGCCTGAACTACTGTGAGTCTTGAGCAAACTTTATATATTCCAAATTGATCAGATAGATGGCTTGCAAATAATTCATCTCAAGCTGTAGCTTGTCTTTTCTTCTTAAATCAAAAGTTTTTTCCTTTTATGGATTGTGCTTTTGGGGCAAAGTCCAAGAACTTGTCAACTGGCCCAAGATCCTGAAGATTTTTCTCCTGTGGCTTTTTTCAAAGTTATATAGTTTTATCTATTACATTTAAGTCCATTATACCTTTAGAGTTAAATTTTATATAAGATGTGAGGTTTAAGTAGAGGTTCTTTCTTCTCCCTGTTGTGGGTGTCTAATTGCTCCAGCATAATTTGTCAGAAAGGCTATTCTTCCTCCATTGAGTTGCTTTGCACTTTTTCAAAATCAGTTTAGCACATTTATATGGGTTTATTTCTGGGCTCTCTCAACTGTTCCATTGATCTATGTGTCTGTTCCTCTGCCAATACCATCTATCTTGATTACTATAGCTTTATAGTAAGTCTTGAAGTCAGGTAATGTGAGTCCTCCAACTTTTTCTTCTTCAAAATTGATTTAGCTTAATTAACTTTACACTGGATATTTTCATCTTTCCTATAGGGAAAGAAAAAGAATAGAGAAGAACTGTGGCTGTGGGAAATTAGGGAAAATATTGTATATACATTCCATATGCTCAAGACTAGTGGTTTTCAAATGTTAGTATGCCCCAGAATCAGCTAAGTAGTTCACGCAGATTTCTGGGTTCTACCCACAGAGATAGTTTGACCTTCAAGTGATTCTGATGCAGGTGGTTCTAGACCACACTTTGAAATTTGAAAAACAAGGAGAACCAAAAACAACAAACAACCTTTATTACTTAACTTCCAGTATGCAACAAGCATACTTTGTTCCCAGTATAGAACTAGCACAGAGAAAAGTATGTCTTTTCAGAAGACACATTTATCATTAGAAACCAAAAACAACCTTGATCACTTAACTTCCAGTATGCAACAAGCATACTTTGTTTTGAGTATGAAATAAGCACACAGAAAAGTGTGTCTTTTTGGAAGACACATTTATCATTTGTGCTTTTACATGGTAAGAGTAATGCAACCAGAGTTTTCATTACATCCTAAGTCCTAAATGTTTCTGGGGAAACACATTTATATTATAATAGAAATTCCTAGGCAGATAGGATCTGCTCAATAGAAATTTACTTCAGAGTCAAATATGCTAGAACTCATGTTCAGTTCAAAAGGGCACCTTCAGAGATTCAATGTTTAATAGGTGTCTCAGGATATATATTTTAGAAACAAGAAGGACGATACTGCCCTCTCAATGAGGGCGTAGAGGTGTGGTGCTTCCTTCCACTCACACTAGATTTATTCTTTGCTTGTCCAACATAAGCATCATACCTACAAAATTGAAACATGAAATATTCTAGCAAGTGAATGTATTTGAAAATGAAAATAACGACTTCCAAGTTAAAAGGGAAATATAAATGTTTCAAATACACTCCCCAGACATTTTATTATAAGATATTCCTTGCCAATGTAACTCCCATAGCCTTTTTAGAAATAACTTTCATATTCTACTTAAATCATCTTGCATATGCTCTTTATAGGTCAGTTATAGGTAGGAGGGTTCAGTAAACTCAAATTAAACTGTGCTGATTGCATGTGAAAACTTATCTACTGGGATATAAAAAGAATTGTTCTATAGTTTGCCTGCATGTGAGCTGTGTGCATTTTAGAATGTGTTTTGTACACAAATTGAAAAAGAAGGTTTTTACCCCACTTTGTCTCCTGCTTTATTCTAGAGAAGAAAGTTCTTGCATAAGCTCTTCTTTTTCTTGTTGCAATTCCCGCAAATGCTGCTGGTTTTGCTCCAGTCTGTCCTCCAACCACTGTAGGAGAGGCCCACTGACTGCCGACATCTGACTGCACAGATTCTTGGTAAACACTTCAATAGGAAAAATAAAGATGAAAATAATGTGGAAAAGCACTGTCCACTAGCATGTTCCCATTCCATCACCAACAGACCATCAACCATGAGCATAGAAAGAAGGGTTTGGAGAAGGAAGTAGAAAAAGTGTAATTATTAGGACTGATAAACAATTTTCTCTGCCCAGCCAGGGAAAAAAAACAGAAGAGCTTACTACAGAAAATACCCATTCTGAAGCCATCCTGAATCCATAAGCCAGAGGGAAGCCTGGCAGAAAGATGGCCAGCTCTTTACTCCCTTAGGCAAAAAGGCTAAGAGCCACGGAAGGGTTCCTTTCCCCAGACTTTCAGACCTTCCTGTGCTGTAAATCACCATAACCTCCTAATGGGCCAGAAGTCAGCCTTCTGCAATTTACATTTCCAGAGAGCCCCGTAGGTACATCAAATGTTATGTATATTGAAGAAATATACATTAATTGAATACACCTGAGAGCTCCTCTTTTAAAATGAAGAAGAAACAAAGGAATGAAGAGTAAAGTAAGGGAGTTATCATCTTTTATGCTTTACTGTGAATGTTCAGCTTCATGGTGAGACAAAGATTCTATGATACTTTTAAAACAAATTCCATTTATGTAAGTATCTTTTTCTCACTCATAATATATGACTGTTAATGAAATGACCACTGTCCAGTGTTTTGCTATTTTAAAGACTGCAGTTAAGCAGAATTGCTACATCTAAGCACATGTATATTTTAAAACTAATTATCCAGTATTTTCCAGATTGTACCAAATTACATCTCCAGGAACAGAGACTGCTCGCTTCCCTCACATCCTCACCTAATTGTCTCTCAATTTAATCTTTGCCAAAAGAAAAGGTGAAAAACTGATAATCTTATCTTAATCTATCCTTTTAAAGATAATAATCAACATTTTTACTTTTGTAGGGGCCCGTAAAAGTCTTTAGTTTTTATTTAGCCAATCTTTCCTTTTGTGAATTCAGGGTTTCACATTATACTTAGGCCATTACCTTCCTAGAGTCTGAAAATCTTCTTAAATTTTCCTCCTATATTTCTTTAACTTATAAAATAAGCTTTTGGGGGTATAATTTACAGACAGTAAAATGAACCAATGTAAAGTAAACAGTTCTATGAGTTTTGACAAAGGTATACCCCATGTTATAATTTGGATATTTGGCCCTCCAAACCTCATGTTAAAATTTGACTCCCAAAGTTGAAGGTGAGACCTCATACGAGGTATTTGGGTAATGGGCCTGTGTCCTTCATTAATATATTAATGCCCACCCTTAGGGGTGACTCCTTTCTCTGTTAGTTCCCACAAGAACTGCTATTAAAAAGAGCCTGTCCCCTCCGCCATTCTCATTTCCTCTCTTGCCATCTGATATCTGCATACACAGGCTCCCCTTTGCCTTCTGTCATGAGTGGAAGCCCTCACGAAATGCAGGTGCCAGCACCATGCTTCTTTTTCAGTCTGCAAATCTGTAAAGCCAAATAAACCTCTTTTCTTTATAAATTACCCAGCCTCAGGTATTCCTTCATAAAATACAAATGAACTAAGAACACCTCATGTAACCAATGCTAGTCAAGATATATATCATTTCCATCACCCTCAAAGAACCTCCTCTGCAGTTTCCTTTGCATCAAATGCCCCTTTACCCCTGGGCCATGCAATTATCACACCATAGATTAGTTTTGCTTATTGTTGAATTTGGAACCATGGAGTATGTAGCCTTCGTGCATAATTTCTTGAGACCTGTCCTATTTGTTCATGTTTCAGAAGTTTGTTCTTTTCATTGTTTAGTACTCCATTATACGGATATATCCGAGTTTATCCACACATTTGTATTGTTTCTACCTTTTGGCTATTGTGAATAATGCTGGTGTGAACATTTGTGTACAGGTTTTGTTTGAGCAGCTGTTTTGAATTCTTTGAGGTATATACCTAGGAAAGGAACTGGTATGACATTTGGCAACTATAATTGCCAACCTTTTTTCTAAAGCAGTTGTACCATAATAGTGAAAGTTTAAATATATCTGGAATTTATTTTTTGTGTCTGGTATTAGGTAGGAATCTATTTTCCCCCCAATTGAAAAAAAGAATGTAACTCCACGAAGGTTAAGACTGTCTTTTGTTCAGCACTGTACTTCAGTGCCTAGAATAGTGCCTAGCAGAGAATAGACACTCAAATATTTCTTGAATGAATAAACTAACAAAGAAATGAACTGTTTCAATCCTATTTAGTAAATAATTCATGCTTTTTTTCATTTATTTAAAGTAATATCTTTGCTAAATATAAATTCTTATATATACACAGTTCTATCTCTGGTCTCTGTTCACTTCCACTGATCTATTTGTCTATTTTTGATCGATTATTTATACTTTAAAAATTACTGTGGCTTTAGAATATGGCTATATATATATTACCAACTTTTTAAAATGTATTTATTTTACTTTAGGTGCATACTATATCTGGCATTTCTCCCCATTTTATCCCTCCCCACCCTCCCTTCCCTCCCCTCCCCGCACTGTCTCTCCCCTACCCCCTCCAACTGCCCCCAGTGTGTGATGCTCCTCTTCCTGAGTCAACATGTTCTCATTGTTAGACTGGACCAACTTTTAACTTTGTCATGTTTTACCCTTAGATAGAAATTATGGGACAGATAGGTCAAGCCATTTCTCCCTTTTCTTTCAAAGTAACTGCCTATAACACTCAAAAGCCTTCCTTTCTTCCTCACTGGTGACTTTGCAAGTAACTAGAGAAGAGTGAACAGAATGACCTGGAAGTCAGGGTCACTCAGACAGAAAGTGTGACTGGGGAAGTGTGTATGTTGGGGACAAGTGAATTAGTATATATATTGTATTCAGCTTTTTGTTCCTTTACCTTGTACAAGAGTTACTTTTATATTTATTGACATCAAAAGATTTTCTCCCTCGTGCCTTCCCTTTATCTGTCTTTCTGTCTATCCATCCATCTCTTTCAATTCCCACAACAGGCTGGTAATGTTATGCTGGAACCACAAGAGCCAACTATTAAAATTCCAAGAAGTCTGTAAGCTGGTTGATGCCATGTTAGTTGCTTGAAATCAGCCATGCCAGGGCATTACACCACAGAAACATACAAACACAACAAATCAGCGTCCTCCCTGCTCCTTGAGAACTGGCTGTTAAACATGTGCCAGAACACCACTGAGTAGGTCTATCATAAATCTCCTTCCTGTCTTTCCTCTTGTCTTACTCCAGGCTGTATTTACAGTATTCATGGATACCCAGGGTTCAAAGAAATGTTGGGATCAGGATCAGGAAAACCTTGGGAAAGGAAACCTGAGGACAACTTGTACCCATCACTTCACTCACTTAAACTAAATTTGCTTCTGTCAGCTGAGTATTTCAGGGAAAAAAAAAAGTCTGAGTACTCAAGAAAAAATTCTTACCTGAGCCATTATGGATCTTGGTTACTGAGTCCAGATGTGTGAGGCTAAAGGATAAAATAGTTTAGGTTAGTGGCAAAGCAGCACTGAACAGAAAACAAAATGGTCATGGAGTATAACAACAATAAACTGGATTAGATGGATATGTAGTATTTAAATCCCCAATATTAACTTTTTGATGATTTGGGGGATATGATTTTATCCAAAGACAATTGAAATTAGTACAAATATATTGGGCAAGACCTAGTGCGTGGCAACAGGATTAAGACGTTGTGGATTATCCTATTTTCTCAACCGAAAAAGAAAGTGTCCTTGCCCTTGAAAGTTCCAAAGTAAGCAGGAGAAAAACAAATGTTGAAGAAATTATCATATAATGTGAGAAACATTATGATTTTAGACTGCTAGAAACTTTTCTCAGAGAGGCAAAAGGAGAGGGGCCTCAAGAGTTGAGCTGCTAAAGATAAAAGGACAGAAGAAGAAAAGCGAGACTAGGTCCTGAGAAGTAGAGAAGAGAAGTGAAGAGGGTCTATACCTGTGGATCCTCCTATACGCATCCTGCTCCTCCTGGCACAGGATCTTGGGCAGCTCTACTGCTGATTCAAGGCACACTTTCCCAATAGTGACATGAGGTACAATATGGATTGGGATTTCAATTCTCTCATACCTGTGAGGCAATCAGTACAGGTCAGTTTTTAAACTCTGAGTTATCATAATCAGAAGTTCTCTAAAGTTTTAATTGAAACTCTAGGATATAGCATACTTCAAAGATGAAGCATTGCTATAATTCATTTAGTGACTCAACTTCAAAGTGTACAGAGTTCAAACTGGTTCATCTGGAGAGCAAACTAAAAGCCCATAGAAAATCTAAGGCCATTTCTGTAAATTTAAGAGAAACCTTGGGAGCTCAAGGTCTTTACATCTACTCCCCAGACAGGGGAAATAGCTAATTAATACTGTTTTTAGTCAAGAAGTTGCCAATGAGGTTGAACAAATTAATCACAAAAGTCTGGAGAAGAGGAACTACAGACTCTTCAATGACTCCATCACATTCATTATGTAGGCGGGATTACTCACTTGTTCTAACTCAGTGTTTACCAGTGCCCCTCACTTCCCATTTTCTCCCCTTTTTGTGGGGGGAATAGGTAAGAAATTCACAAATATTCACATGTTCATGCTAGAGTGGGAGAAACAGAAATGTTTGTTACTAAGGCCAACCAATCTACCTCTACCCACTTCTTACCCCAAAAACACCTAAACTCTACCTACCAGTGGGTTCAGTGGAGAATCCAGGTTGAGGGCCCCTGGCACTGTGAGACCCCACCAGCACATGGTGGTAAGGCAGCTTAAGATCTAGCTTTCCCATCTCTCTTCCCCACCCAGCAGAACATGTCTAGTCCGCATACCACAGCCTAGATGAAACACAAATGATGGGGCATTACAAGCCCTCCCCTCCCTACACCCAAGTAGTCAGGGTGTGCTTCCATCTAAAAACATTAATTTTCAGTCTGAAGAACTTTTAATATTTCTTGTAGTGAACATCTCCAGATTATTCTGCCTGTTTTTTTTTACATAAAAATGTCTTGTCTTAATATAAAATTCCTTTATGCACATTAAAGATGTCATCCCATCATCTTCCAGGCTCCAAAGATTCTGATGAGAAGCCAGCTGTCATTCTTATCAGTGTATTGCTCCACTATTTGTAATATATCTTTTATTCCTTTAGCTGCCATAATGTTACTGTCAGTTTGCTTGTGATTGACTGAGATTCATGAATCTATGAGTATTAATCAGGTTTTAGAGAATTCTTAGCCACTATCTCCTTAGGCCTTCTTTGCCTACTTCTGGTGCTCCGATTACATGTAAATTAAAATGGTTCATACTGCCTCACACCTCTGTCACACATCATTCTGCTAGTCTATTCTCTCTTTTCTTAACTCTTTGCTTCACTTGGGGCATATTTTATCGACCTGTCTTTGTGCTCACTGATCACTTCTGCTATACTTCAGTCTGCTGCTAGCCCCTCTAATGATTTCTTAAATTTAGGTATTTTCCACTTTTACAATGTCCATCTGGGTTGCTTTTTTTTTAATTTGTGGTTAAAAAAATAAAATTTATTATCTTAACCATTTTAAGTGTACCGTTCAATAATGTAAGTATTTTAACATTGTTATGAAAGAGATCTTGCAGAACAGAAACTCTATACCCCTTCTCCCTTCACCCAGCCCCTGGTGACCACCATTCTACTTTGTATATTTATGATCATCAGATACTTATATAAATAGAAAAATGCTATATTTGTCCTTTTGTGAATAGCTTATTTCACTTAGCATAATATTCTCAGGGTTCCTTTATGTTGTAGGTTGTAACATGATTTCCTTTATTTTTAAGGTTGTATAGCATTGCATTATGTTACATTGTATTTGTTGGTCCATTCATCCATCAATAGACATTTGGGTTGCTTTTACCTCTGGACTATTGTGAACAATGCTGTGAACATAGGTGTGTAAAGACCTATTTTTGAGATCTTGCTTTTAATTCTTTTGGATATATACCCAGGAATGAGAATGGTGGATTACATAGTTGATCTATTTTTAAGTTTTTAAAGAACTTCATGCTGTTTTTAATTGAGATTGCACCACTACAATCTCGACAATAATGTGCAAGGGTTCCAACTCCTCCATATTCCCACCAACACATGTTATTTTTTTATTTTGTTAGATAATACCCATCACAATGGGTGTAAGGTGATATCTCATGGTGGTTTCGATTTGCATTTCTCTGACAATTAGTGACATTGAACACTCTTGTATAAGCTTGTTGGCCAAGAGAAATATCAGTTTAAGTTTTCTGCTAGTTTTGTAGTTTGTGGTCTTATATTTTGTTCTTTAATTCATTTGAGCTAAGTTTTATATACGATGTAAGAAAAAGGGTCCAGCTTCTTTCTTTTGCATGTGAATATTCAATTTTTCCAACATCATTTATTAAAGAGATCATCTTTTTCCCATTTAGTGTTGTTGGCATCCTTGTTGAAGTTTACTTGACCATATATGCAAGGGTTTAAATCTGGGCTCACCATCTGTTTCATTGATACCACACTGTTTTGATTACTATAGCTTTGTAGTTACTTTTGAAATCAGGCAATGTGAATTGTCCAAATTTGTTCTTTTTCAAAATTGTTTTGGCTACTCAAGGGCCCTTGAAATTCCATATGAACTTTATGATAGATTCTTCTATTTTTAAAAAGGCCATTGGGATGTTTACAGTGATTGCATTAAATCTACAGATCACTTTGAGTAGTATAATTATCTTAACAATATTAAACTATCCAATCCATGTATATGAGATGTCTTTTCATTATTTTTGTCTGTAGCTTCTTCCAGCAACATTTTGTAGTTTTGAATACGTAAGTCTTTCACCTCCTTGGTTAAGTTTATGCCTAATTATTTTATTCTTTTGATATTATTGTAAATGAGATGTTCTTAATTTCCTTTTCTGATTATTCATTGTTAATATATGGAAATAAAACCGATTTTGGTTTGTTGATTTTTGTATCCTGCTTCTTTCTCTTTTTGCTTATTAGTTCACATATATGTCATGTGTGAACAGAGAGATAAACTTACCTCTTCCTTTCCAATGTGGATGCCTTTTATTTCTTGTTCTTGCCTAATTGTTTTGGCTAGGAATTCCAGTCCTGTGTTGAAGGCTTATTTTTAAAGTGAAGTGTATGTCTAATGTTGAGTTGTAAGAGTTCTTTACATAGTCTGGATACTAAACCATTATCATATATGTAGTCCTCCCTTATCCTTTGTTTTACTTTCCATGGTTTCAGCTACCTGTTGTCAACCATGGTCTAACAATATTAGATGAAAAATTCTAGAAGTAAATAATTCGTAAGCTTTAAGTTGCAAACTTTCTGAATAGCATGATGAAATCTTGTGCCATCCTGCTCTAACCTGCCCAGGATATGAATCATTCCTTTGCCCAGCAGATCCACACTGTATATGCTACCTATCCAGTAGTCACTTGGTGACTGTCATGGTATTGCAGTTCTTAAGTTCAAGTAACCCTTATTTTTCTTCATAACTGCCCCAGAACATATGAGTAGCAATGTTGACAGTTCTGCTATACCAAAGAGAAGCCCTAAAGTGCTTCATTTAAGTGAATTGGTAAAAGTACTCAACTTAATTTAAAAAAGAGAAAATATCAGATGCTATTGCTGCTAAGACCTATGGTAAGAACAAATCTTCTATCTTTGAAATTGTGAACAATATATTGTTACAACTGTTCTATCTTATTATTTGTAGTTAATCTCTTACTGTGCTTAATTTATAAACTAAACTTTATCACAGGTGTTAATGTATTAAGAAAACATGTAATAGGGGTCGGTACTATCTGTGATTTCGGGCCTCCACTGGGGTTCTTGGAACATATTCCCCAAAGATAATGGGACACTGCTTTTTATAATTTGCCACTATTTTTCTGATCTGTATGTTGTGTCTTTCACCTTCTTGATAATGTGCTTTGATGCACAAAAGTTTTTAATTTTATCAAATCTAATTTATCGGTTTTTTTCCCTTTCTGCCTTGTGCATTTGATGTCATATTTAAGAAACTGCCAAATTTAATGTCATAAAGATGTACCTGTATGTTTTCTTCTAAAGTTTTATTGTTTTAGCTCTTCTATTTAGATCTTTGATCCATTTTAATTTTTGTATATTGGGTGACGATAGTGGTCTGGCTTCATTCCTTTTGCATGTGGATATCCAACTGTCCCAGCGCCATTTCTTGAATTGCCTTTTGTTTCCCTGTTGAATTACCGTGACACACTTATTCAACATCAATTTACCTGAAATGTAAAGGCTGACTTACGGACTCATAATTCTATTCCACTGATTTATATATCTATCCTTTGTCACCTTTTGTTGTTTTTCTACAGTTCTCTGAAACTCTTTCCCTTTTTTCCCAGTGTTTTTTTTCCTGTCTGTTATCCAGCTTGCATAATTCTATCGATCTATCTTTAAATTACTGAGTCTTTCCTCTGGCATTTCCACTGCATTCTCACTTTAAATCTAGAGTTTAAATTTTTTGGTTATTATATTTTTCAGTTGTAAAATTTCCGTTTGGTTCTTTTTATCTTCTATTTATTATTTGATACTTTCTTTTTAAATATTTGTTGAAACATTTTTATGATCGATAGCTTGAGCACTTTCATAATGGCAACTTTTAAAGTCCTGTCAGATATTTCCAACATTAGTGTCATCTAGCCTTTTGTAACTGTTATCTTCTCCCACACAAGCTGAGATTTCTGTGGTTCTTAATATGTTAAATAACTTGGTTTATGTCCTTGTTATTTTGGATATTAAGTTATGAGATTTTGGATCTTGTTTATACCCCCACTTCTGTGGTATTTTGAGTTGGAGGGGGGCTTCTCCAATCTGCCTGTTGTTATTTACATTCCAAAGTTCAAAAATAGCTAGGCTTGGCATTTCTTTCCGGACCACATAGTTGAGTTCAGTGAGATATAGGGGCAGCATGTGTTGATTTCATCTTATGTGTAAAATAATCCATGGCTTTGAAATTTAATAATATATTTCTAAGTAACACCTGCATCAAAGCAAATCACAAAGGTAATAATATAACAAGGAAAATATTTTGAAGTAGTTTT